TCAGTAAAAGAGATGCGAAGTGAAGAGAGATGTCAAGTACATGAAGCAGCAGCAGCACGGCAGCAGATGCAGTATGAAGCAGCAGCGGCAGCAGTAACGGTAGCAGCATGAAGCAGCAGCAGCAGCAGCGGTTGCAGCATCCGTAGATAATAACAGCAATAATCCTGTATCAAGCCACCGCAGTAGAATATGTTGAAGCTGTTTAGTGTTTCAGTAAAAGAGATGCGCAGTGAAGAGAGGTGTCAAAGTAAAGAAGCAGCAGCAGCACGGCAGCAGATGCAGTATGAAGCAGCAGCGGCAGCAATAGCAGCAGTAGCGGCAGCAGAAGCAGCAAGCAGCAGCAGCACAATGCAATTCATACGAACAACAGACGTGTCACGCCAGCGTGCGCCGCTTGTCTCCGTGAGCCAGGTTACGTACGTGTCTGAAGAGCCGAGCCGTAGAGATAGGTGCAGCCTGGGAGCCTGCGGAGCGGCAGCGGCAGGAACAGCAGCAGCGGCACATGTAGTAGTAGGAGCAGCAGGAGCAGGCAGCAGGGACAGGCAGCAGCAGGAATAGGCAGCAGCGGGATCAGGCATCAGTAGGAACGGCAGCAGGGACCGCAGCAGCGGTTGTTTAAGAGCCTGAGGAAATAAATCAACCCGAATCCGAAACATTCCCATGCGAGAAACAGATGTCCCCTGGAGCCATCTTGCTGCTTTGGTTATGGCAGATACGCATGAACGATCACTGATCCATGCGTTCATAGCTACAGCTCCACTTCAAACCCATTGCATATTCACATTGGGCCCCTTTTCTTTCTGCTGCACTTTCGAAATGCAACAACTGCAGTTTAGTTACCCAGTTTAATACTAGTGACCTAGCTATTTAAATGCATGGCCCCTCCTTCCTCCTGCAGATAGACGAATTTAAATACATAATTTAACAATAGTGACTTGCGAGTAATGAGATTGATGCTGTAAAGATGGCGCCGTGCAAGAGCTCTGTGTGTGCCGTCTGGAGCACGATGGGGTAGTCTTTGCACATTTTTTCCAACGTGGTTTTACTGCAAGTGGCAGAACATGAATCTGAATTAATGCACATTGCTCCTCTTATATCCCTCAGACATTGGAGATTGATGCCATTTAAGATGCATTGACCCTCAGTTAGCTCAACACGTGTAAAACGGAGCCTGCAGACCAAGCACGGGCGAAGACTGACGCCTGCAGTCAAGTGCGTAGGGCAAAAACCAGCCGCCTGCAGCCTAGACTCCGGGATTAAACTGTCCGCGGTCGGCACACTCACTGTACTCACATGCCAGGAGACTTGGGAAGAGCAACGGGACAACGCGGCACCGCCAGTCGGAGGCAGGGACACGCACAGCACCGCCAGACCGTCTGCGCGCGGCAGCAGACCACGAGGAACGAGCAGCACAGAACCGCGGAGGGGCCCCGCGGAGCAGCCCGCAGAAGAGCCCGCAGAGGAGGAGAGCAGTGGAGACACGCGAACCACAGCAGGTGCAGGGACGCGGAGGAGGAGCAGACCACGAGCAGCCAGACTGAGGACAGCCGGGCCACGCGCACGAGCAACACGTGAGCAGAAGCGACCCCTCCAGAACAACGCATGCATTTGCGAACAGGAGCGTTTAGCGACATGCACCTTGCAGGCTTCAGAAGTTTGCAGACTTCAGAAGATCGGGAAGTGGGCGTCTCCGGCTTTTAACTTGCTGTCCTGGTGGTTATTGGTTGACTGGGTGTGGGCGTTGCTGGTATTGATGAGTCGAGGAAGAGCAGCCTGTGGCCTGGCAGCAACAGCCGGGTCTACCACGGTGAACTTTCGCGAAAGCTCCATATGTGTGCAAAGGGTCAATAAAATATGTTAAAATCATAGACTGCATAGGGTAGTTAGGTTAAACATTGTAAAGTTTAGAATGATCCACAAAACATGGGAGTGCTTACCAGGGCTGGACTGGCCATCGGGCGTACCGGGCAATGCCCGAAGGGCTGATGCCCCTATTTGGGCCGGTCTGTTTGCCTCATACAAAAAACATGTTTGTGAAAAGTGTAAATCCGTTGAGAAATGTTTGAGGGGAGCGCGCGTGTCCGCGGGGCACCTGCTGTATGTACTTGAACGGGATTCCACCACCTCAGCGGCCGCAGTGTTCCCGCATCCAGCGGCTCTGAGCTGGACGCAGGAACCGCTCACCGGGAGCCGCTCACAACACAACACGGTGAGCGCGTACAGTAGCTGCAACGTTACGTGACCATGTACCCAAGACCATAAACGCGCACAGGACCATGCGTGTCTTTGCGTAATTTGTGCACCCAATAAATACACCGCTGCAGGAAACAGTCCGCGTCTCCCCTCTCCTCTAAATTAAAGCTCGGGTACCTAAATTTTCCATTGCATTAAAAGTTCATGTTTGAGCCCAAAAGTAAAATGTTGTGAACAGATTCAACAGATTTAGAGCCAGCTAATGACTGACAATATGCATTTCAGAAATGTTTACCAATTCTCATCCCTGTAACAAACAATAGTATTGTCTGTGTCCACCTCCCTCCAGTGGCGGCCGGCCAATAGAGGGCGCTAGGGTGCCGCCCCACCACTCACAACTTGCCATGTTACCTTGAATAAAACGTTAAAAAAAATAATAACATTAAAATATTTCGAAATTTATGTGTGTTTTATTTCAGATGTGGAAGAAATACTTTATAGTTTATGCTGAGTTGGATTGATTAAGCTCATCAGCGTTGTCTGTGTCGGACTGAGGACGTATTTCCGCCTCAGGGCGCAAAAGATTGCGCCCTGAGCCGTCTATGGACTCTCGTTAAAAGTTGTACATGCGCAGTAGCTCCTCTTCAATGCAAGAGATAAGACGATTTGGGGGCGCAGGAGAAGTGCGCCCTGAGGGGGCGGGATCGCCCGCGACCTGTACTGTCACTGTCTGTGACGTCCGTTTACAGTGATTGACAGGTCAAGCTGTGGGAGTTTGAGACGAACGTAAAGAGACGCAAAATGGAGAACGAGAAAAAGAAGAGAATAATTCAGTTAGATCACTCAAAACAATACCGTTTGAGAGAAGATCATACCAGGAGAAGGTTGAGGTTAAAGAGCTTGGACCTGATCAGCCAAATATTACCATTAGTCAGCAGTCCAGCGACAGGGGGAGACGGTACACTCGTACTTTTTCCAGGACCTGGTTCAGCGCCAAATCTTGGCTAGCAGCATGTAGCGAGGCTAATGCTTTATTTTGCTTTCCATGCCTCTTGTTTCAAACATCAGGATCTGACCCAGCATGGATCAAGACAGGTATGACTGATCTGAAGCACTTTTTAGAAAAGGCAAAGAAGCATGAGCAGACTGGTATCCACATGCAAAATGCCCTCAAATTAGCTATGTTTGGGAAGATAAATATTTCATTCTCGTGTGAGGCTTCAGTCACAACAGTCAGTGTAAACTTACTTACTGCTGGTATATATCTAGTCATCATATTCATAGCCCCCCCAGTAGAAAATTCCACCAGCCGCCACTGCCTCCCTCACTCTGAGACATGTTTATTACTCTGTTTAATGTAGACTATTGTACTGTATTTTATTGTTGAAACTGCAGACATCCTGATCCTCTACAGTATTTGCTTCCACATACTGTATAAACCAGGGGTCGGCAACCTTTAGTGCCCCTAAAGTGGCTCCTGGAGCCTTTTCAAAAATGTCTGAAAATGGAGTGTGAGGGCTATATTTTATTTCTAGTTTCAATGTGGTTTCTGTAGGAGGAAAAACATTAACGCTTTTCAATGCTGCAAAAACTTGTATAAGTAATAAGACGGTGAAAGAAAAGGCCATTAAGGACATTCAGCTCCAGCAAACTTCAGCCTGTGACGTGATGGATATGATCAATCCAATCCAATCCAATCCACTTTATTTCTATAGCACATTTAAACAACAGAACAGTTCCAAAGTGCTGCACAAAAAAGTACACAAAAAATAGAATAAAAAATAAATAAATAAATAGTCAATTTATAAAATCAATAAAAATCATAAAACACAAAACAAAAATTAAAAAGACACAGGGACCACACAACTCACGCGGAGTTAAAAGCCAGAGAATAAAAGTGGGTTTTAAGACGAGATTTAAAACACTCCAATGTTGTGGCTGTTCGGACGTGGAGGGGCAGAGCGTTCCACAGCTTAGGGCCGATGACGGAGAACGCTCTGTCCCCTCGAGTTTTACGTTTCGTCTTAGGAACCACGAGCTGGAGCTGGCCCTCAGACCTCAGAGCGCGCGTTGGGGCGTAGACTTCAATGAGGTCTGTGACGTACTGAGGGGCCAGTCCGTTTAACGCTTTAAAAACAAACAACATTGATCAGACAGTGATGCAGGTGAACTCGGAGCCAAAAAGCAGATTTATTTACTGTATTTGTACAATTGCATGAAGGCAAAAAAATGGAAGTTAAAGTTAAAGCAGAGTTGTCACGTGGTGTGTCATTCTCTCCAGGACACGCTGCAATGAAAATACACATTTGATAATCATGAATGGTTTTTATGTGTTTAGCCTTTACTTTTTCATTTAGATATTAGTCTAATATAGCTAATATAGCTAATGTAGCTAAGGTAGCTAATGTAGCTAATACAGCTTCAGCCCCTGTTACCTTCATATAAGCCTTATACAACGCTGTTTTTTGTTGTTGTTGTCAAATATGGCTCCTTGAACCTTTTGAGTTGCCTGGGCCGCTAAAAAGGAAAAAATGCCCGGGCCGTTTTTTTGTCCCAGTCCAGCCCTGGTGCTTACAGTCTACGGTCCAGTCGTACAGTTTAGTTTTATTTTGAAAAGTTCAAACGGATGTGAAGTACCCTCACGCGCTTGATGTAATGCGCTGTGAGCGCAGCGCAAAGTGGAGTAAAAGGGGGTTGAGCCGAGGTCTTGTGGACCACTGGAAGTCTCTCATCAATTTGAGAAAGATCCGTGCTGCTCAGTCAGCCGCACTCCATCCACGCGTCAGTCCAACTTTGAGATCCTAACCATGAGAATTTACGGATCCATTCACCAAGCCTTGATATGCACGCTCCTCACAGCTCTGCACACAGGTAAAACAAACACTTATTCAATATCAATATTACCGCGTGCGAGGACATTTTATTAGTCATTGTTTTATTGACGACAACTGCTGAAAAAATAACGAAATGTACTTATACTTTAACTTTGATGAAGTTAATTGTGTTAATTATATATTCATTAATTGATATGAACCACAAGTTTTGCTAACGCGAGCTTTTTAATCACCGGTTTAACTTTTTGCTTAGAGCCGTATACCCGGTCCTGCGCTCTCCATCTTTTCAGCTAAAGCCGCTTTTATGCTTCTAAAGAAATCAGACACATTTAGTTTCACAAACTGTACAGATGCGACATGCACTGGTGACTGGTGTTCTGATCTTAAATGGCGCCAGATCAGTCAGGGGCGCACGAGCCGCTGCACACCTGCCCGTCCGCTTTGATGCCCTGAGATTCAATACTTCAGTGAAAACATTAGCTCCGTAGCCGAAACTACTAGACCAGTGAACAAATCAATGGCTGACCACTTCACACCACTTCACACCCTGGCCTTTGACCTCCGAGGAAGTGGGACACGAACATTATTCAGTCAAATTGGTCACTGTTGTCCTTTGAGGGTGCATTGGTGTGATAACAAAAGTTCCAATCTGTATGTTTGTAAAATGAACTGTGGTAAAAGTAAAAGTAAAGCAAAAGTTAAACATGATTTATTATTGTTAAAAATTAAATTTGATAGATTATGTATTTATAACACTTTTTTTAACGTTGGAAAGTGTTTCGTGATAGCATAAAATATGATAATTTACAAAACATGTAAACAAATGGCTGTTATCATATACTGAACTAACTTAATATTCACTTAGAAGCGTGGCTAACCATTTCAAACCTCTATTTTCTCTTTGATGTTCTTGATTGTCTATCTGTATCATTAATTTTACAATAAATAGCCATGTTCTATATAGAAAGTACAAATATTAGGGTTTAGAAGTAAGGATAAAATGTAAAAATAGAAAGTAGAGAAAATGTAAACACTAAATTGTAAGGTACAGATGCCAGAAACCTCCCTCTTATTCGGCTCCTATCATGCAGCTGTCTATATCTAGTCTGATTATCTTATCTCATGGTGGCATAAGGCAGCATTTTACTGGTTAAAGTGCAGGTCATCCTGATCATATCTACATTTTCCTCAGCCAGACATGAAACACGTGTCTCCAACTTAGAAACATTTCTACCACTTTGTATTACATCTCATCACACTTCAGCCAGCCTGGTTGAGCATCTTTAATTCGATTAATCGCTGGTAAATGTTTGGGATTTTAAGATAGTCGAGGTCTGACTGTGAAAAGAGGAAGAGCCTAAGTGAAATCTAATTGAGCAGCCTTGCCAGACATCAGGGCTGGAACAACAGTGTGATGAGTGCCAGATGTGGTCTAGTGGAGCCTAAACATTAATAAAACGTCCGCCCAAAAACCATTTTCAACCACGAGGAGCCACAGTTTACACTATCCTAAGTACACACACAACGTTGAGTGTTGGATCTTGGCACGAGACAAAATTTCAGTAACATAGTACATGAGATTTTCATTCGAAATTCATACTACTTAACCTTATTATGAGAAATAGGAAACAACTGTTAAAAAAAAGCTTCTGGCCTCAGGAGACAGAAAAGTAGAGACATGCTCAGCAGAGGGATGTGCTTCTAACTTAGACCAGTGCTGTAGTGCATGATGGATTTGTATTACAAAGGATTCTTAGGTAAAATATAGTTTGTCCTGCTTTTGAACTCCTTGGAACTTATATACTGTGTATCCAATGGACTCTATTTTGTTTGAAGTTTGTTGTCGAGAGAAATTTATTTAAACGGCGCAACTAAGTTGATAGCTTTTGTTGATAGCTCATTTATTGAAAGCACAAATTCTCTTTAAAGTGTTTCTTTTCTGTATTGACTTGTTTTTGAAGTTACTGTAGGTAAATATTAGGGGGCTTTAATAGCTGCCCTTGAGCTCATGATGATCTGAAGTCCACACACAGTGATGACTGAAGCGAGACACCGAACAGACTGGCAACAGCATCCATTCACTTACTCATGAGTGCTCGGGGGGTCAATAACGCACTGTAAACCAGTCTGTTCAGACTAGTGGTGTCAAACCGGCCTTTGAGGGGCATGGTGTGGCTCCAGGTTTTCGTTCTACAACCACGCTGGACCTTTGTGGAACCGGTTTGACACCCCGGGTTTACACGCAATATCTGAAACCGCGTCTCAACCTGATGGAACCATGGCACCTGGTCATGTTGCCATGAGTCTGGATGTTCTACAGTAGTTGTGAAAACAGTGGAAGCAGCTTTCAGAGTGGTAGAAGAAGGTTCCTTCTACTGAAAAGTTACAAATGTCAAGGTCCCCAATGTGGAAGTTTACAAAATAAGACAAAAACAAATTCTGTTGTCAAACACCTGAAAACGAAAGTATTCATTGGAATAAATCAAATTGCCACATCTGCCTTACCATAGCATACTTCCGTCTGGCCTTATACAATCTGAGAGCACCTGTGTCCTGGCAGAGAGACTTGATACTTTGTTTGAGGCACAGTCAAGAACTTGTTGCATTTAGTTAGATTTACTTTGCATAAGAGTTACAAAAAAATCCCATGAAATATTCCCAATATGAATAAAATATATATGTTTATATGCGAGATATGTTTTGGATTACACTACATAATATTATATTGTTGGGTGGCAGCTCTGATTGTCATGCCCCTGACCCTGAATGGATAATAAAGGGATGAAAATGAATGAATGAATGAATATTATATTCTATGACAGATTTCTCAAAAACGGTTAAAGGTAAAAACAAGCCGTTATTTGCAAATTATAGCTTGATTGTAATAAGAATAATTTGAGACCACATGTACCCCAATTAAAATAATGTTAATCTCTTTTTGATGTGGGAATAAAAAAAATTGAAGGGTGATATCCTCTGGAGCAAACCCTGATGTTGATACGCTGAAGAAAGATGTTCCAACATCCATTCTTCCCACTCCTATTTTGGTCATCAATTGCTTATTTATTTTGCATAATCAATGTATAATTACACTGCTTTTATTTTGTTTTTCTCATCTCAAATGTCCAAATAAAAATATATATAAAAACATTCATTCAAAACATTCATTCAACATAAGCACGGCTCATGGCAATGTGAATGGAGACAGACAAACAACTGATAAAATAATTCCCTGTGTTTGCTGCTGGATTTGGTGTGTATCTGGAAACCTGAGTCAGGGAGAGTGGGAGAGGACTACAAAATATTGACTGTTACTGCAGAACCACTTTAGGCCAGATTTTTACATACTGCTCCTTTAAAGTTACTTATCCAAATGAACAGTGTTTTACTTCTGTGCACTGTGAAAAAGCAAGAGTTGAATACATGCTACAGGTGCCTCCATCACAATACTCATTTGCACCAGTGCTTTGACTATTGACACTAACAATCTAAGACCAAAAAAAAAACCTTCAAGGATGGTTTGCAGCGTACTGCCCATGCAGCAGATGTAGTAACATGTCATCTGCAGGAAAATATACACCCCAAAACTTCACCACCAAGCTTTGACTAGAGGTGTCTTAAAAATACGTCTTAATGTATATCGCTATTGTTAAATGTGATACAGTATTGATATCCTAAATATCATTATCACTTGTTTTTGTTGTTGATATGTTTGATATGTTCAAATATTGTAATAGACCCACTATTTACAAACAGAAGCATGAGGGCTTTAATAAATGAAATGTAAATGCACCAACAGTGCCACATTTTTTGTCAAAATGGGACAGGGCATTAGATAAGAACCAAAAGCATATCAAATTGTTTAGAATTATGTCTCATTGAATTGAAAATACCCTATATCGATTGCATTGAATATTTTGTCAGCAGGCTCTGAAAGATACCCAGCCCACAATGAATGAGTAGATCAGGGGTCTCCAACCTTTTTCATCCAGAGAGCTACTTTTATACAACAGAAGAGGCAGAGAGCTACTCCTTGTTTGCAGTCGTAATAAAAATGCAATAATTCAGACAAGACAGAACACACGTGCAGAACATATGTAAATACACTATAATACTGTATAACCTTAGAGTATACTTATAATAGATTTGTAATGACTCAAAATGTTTTCATCCAGGATCATGTGTTGAATTCTATCCTTTGGGGAGCTACCTGGAAGGAGCTGGCGAGCTACTAGTAGCTCCCGAGCAATAGGTTGGAGACCCCTGGAGTAGATTGTAACCACTGTTGTAAAGCATTACTACAAATTAATATAGAAGTTGTTGAAGAAGATGACAAAGTCTGGGATCGTGTCTTTAATTCAGACAGAAGACATGTTTTATTGTTGATGGTAGAGCACGAACAAGAGCACGAACAAAGCATGTTACAAACTGCAAGTGATAATATAGCATGGAGGAATGAACACCGTCCAATCAGCTTTTGCCGCGATGCCAGTAGCTTGGCCTTCAGATAGACAAAACATCAAGTGGAAAAGTACTGTCTCCTGCAAAAGTTAGAATGAGTTTGAACTTTAACCACAGTTGCTTCAAAGTGTTATGAAATCTCACACTGTTTTGCAAACCGTTGATAAAATGTCCATTCATTTTCTGGCATGGCTTAACTGCGTTTTTCTGTGATTTAGGTTGTTGCCGAAAAAACCATCAGTGTTTACAGAAGTATGAGAAGACTGAGAACCATGAGCTGGTTTGCACAGAGTGTCCACAAATTCCTCTGGTACGAAACAGTCGATCACCAGAGCACTGTGCCCGCAAGTGTAAAAAAGCAAAGAAAAACTGTAGGTGAGATGAGTTTTGTTTGTCGCATTCTCCCCTCCTACGCTTCCACTTGCATAGCATTTTTGAAAGAATTATATGTAGCCTGCACAATATAGGACTTTTTTAAAAATCATTTTAAGTATGATTTATTTTCATTTTTTAGTTCATAGAATATTTTTGTACTTTTAGTATTTTGTGTGTTCGTCTTTGACATTAATCTTGTTGTCGTCTCTGAGTCTGCACTGAATCTGTTGTGTTTTGCCGAGTAATTCCGATGTGGTCTTGAAAACAAATCAAGGTTTTCCATCCATAGACACCAGGGGGAGACACTATGTACTTTAACAGCAGCCTTTATGTGTGGAATTTGCATGTTCTCCCCGTGTCTGTGTAGGTTTCCTCTGGGTGCTCCGGTTTCCCCTACCACCAAAAACCTGTAGAATAGTTCAGGGTGAATGAGTGTGTGTTTGTCTGTGGGACTACGGATACAAACTAGTCCAAGACTTACAATCCGGAGAGGTGTGTTCATTAACATGCAGCCAAAACTAAAATAATTATAATTTTCTTACTATACACATTGCAGAGAATCTGCCCTTTTTAGATCCACATTTTGTTTATCATTTTAGATTGATCAACATGAAATAATTTTTTTCACAGTAATTTTTTTTTTCTCAGTAGAGGGTTAGATCCATAAAATACATACTTTACATCCAGTTTGTTTAGTGTTCGTATCTAATCTACTTTACAGAGCTTTCAACTTTCAAAGGAACAGCCTGAAATGCCACTTACTTCCATTTGACCGCTTTGGCGCCGGTGTGCAGATGCAGAACAACTGTAACTTCACATTATTTGAGAAAAAAGGTAAAAATAAAAAATCCTTTAACAGATTGTTTTCAGATAATTCTATTGTATTTTTAATTGTTTTAATTGATGTATTCATTTTACATACATATGATGTATGTATGTGTGTACATTTCACATCATCCAGGTAAAGAGGGAAAGGATTTTTGGTTTCCTGAACTCAAACTTTGGTTTATTGCTAAACAAAGCCACTAAACTTACACTCATTGCTTTGAATGGCCGCAGTAATGAGTCTCAAACTCAAACTACAAGCAAAACTTAGTTTAAAGCAAGGAAGGTGAGTGCAGAGGGTACAAGTAGTAGAAGGCATAAATAACAGGTGCTCTTCTAAGCAGATTAGAATGTCAAAAAGAGAAAAAAAAGAAGTCTGAGGCACTCTGTTATAGTGATAAATAAAAGTCCTTTATTCAAATAGACTGCCAAGCAAAACTTATTGTTTAAAAATGGTGTTCATGTTTCCTTTGGTTTGGTCCTCACTTGGGGAATGTCACATTCAATTATTTACAAAAAAGTTTTCCTTGTGACATTAAATGAACTGGAGGAAGTATTTTGGTAATCATAACAACACACACAATGAGACATAAACATTTGAAGTCTTTCTCATAACATTGTCTGGATGATTCTATGGAAATGTAAAGTTTAAACCTGTCATTCAAACATTTTCCATGGAAATGTTAATTACCAAACAAAAATAAGATTATTGCCAAAGGAACATTATTTAATGGGAAACAAGCAGGTGGCCTCCTGTGAGACAAATTCAAGTCAGGTGTGTGGAGCTACACATCGGTTCTCTTAATGTTGTTTTAGCTGAATATATAAGAAATTAGAAAACATCAACACAAATGTTTACTTTTATTTAGACAGCAGAATAAATGGGATAAAATAACTGGGGTGTCTGCTTGTTTAATGATGTTAATCTGCTTTACCTTTTCAGATTATATTAGGGAGTGTGTTACTGGGACTGACAACTATAGAGGCCGTAGGTCATGGACCAAGTCCAACATCACATGCCAAGCTTGGTCTGATAACATCATCAATGAGCACACGTAAGTCTGTTCTTCATGTTATTGTCCAAGCACAAAAATGTGTATGTAAATATGAAATATTATTATTTTTTTGATAAAAGTAAATCATTGTCTAAGAGCAACTGTTTCCACATAATGTATTACACTTTCTGGATATGTGCAAGACCCATTCCCTCTCCATTGCCTGCCATGGTACGCCATATGTTTTCATGGCTATTCTTATAGTAATTAAAAGCAGAAAGATGAATGATTTACATTCAATAGGATGCAGAGGTCTTCAAATTAAAGAAGGCCCTCAGCACAGTCTATAGATGACCTCACGCAGAGATGTGTAGTGGCAGTGAAGCGGGGCACACAGGGGGCCGTGGGGTTTCTTTCACTTGTTTCTTTCACCGTTGCAGTAGCTGGAGCTCGCCCACTCCTCGGCAAAGCACTGCTCTCCCACGACAGAAATGTAATTGATGCATGTCATGCTGCTTATGCTCTAGATGTGCATTTTCCAAAATTATAGTTAGTGTCTGTTCATGTTGGCTCTAGACAAATAAGCATCTTGCCATGGCTATCCTAATTTGGTGTCATCACCTTTCCATGCGGCTGTGCAGCTTAATGTGGTAAATCTTGGGATTTAGTTGCTGTTTTCTGTCAAAGCCTCATGGCCATATTCAAAGATGTAAATGTAAGCATGTTCTTCAAGATCTTAAAATGGAATCAGGACATCAGTGGGTCCTTGTGTGTCACCGTCGGTATTTCTGTGTAACATATGGAAATTGTTTAAGTGTGAAATGAAATGATAATGTGTCCTAAAAGCATCTTAATAAACATTCCAGTTCAACTCTGCCCTCACCCATCCAACCAACAGCTGTAATACGTACATGTACTATGAGAAATTTGATCTGTAATACCTCAACTCCCAGAACCAAGTTCCACCACTGCAGTATAGTGCTATGGAGAAATAATGACTCACATTTGTATTGACTGATCAGTGATCAGTCAGTGATCATTAAGGAAGGATCTTCATGCCACGTTCATTTGAAACTGTAATTTTTCAAAGCTAGTTCTCATAATCCCAGGTCTTCCACCAGCTCCCTCCATCTGTGTGGCTGATACAACACAGGCCTGAGTTGCTGATTTAGTGAAGCCTATCCATCCCACTGCCTCTCAGGGGTTAAAGCAAACGGGGAAGCCTTGAAGATGAATTCTTATCCAGAGTTTAGTCAGATTTCTTTCAACACAAGCAGGAATCTCCTACTAAATGAACCTTTTTTTCACTGTTGGACTTCAGGTGTATCCCAAAAATATTTTCCCTCCAGCTGCAAGAAATCTAGAGATTAGCAAATTTGAAAAGACAGCTCTGGCAGCTACAACCTCTCATTAGTAATACTTAAACCACATGAAAATAAAAGGCGGAAGTAAGAGTTTGACTTGATGGTCACAAAATAAAAACATGTCATTGAGTTTTGTCTGGTTTAATTGTGTCTTGGTAGTCTGGAATTGTTAATTGTATAATCATGTGATGCAAACACTTTACCCCTGACTGGCCTTAGTGACAAAAATAGCGCTGAAGTTTTCATGAAGATAATGAATTACAAAAACAAATTACAACATGTACAACCAGAGCTGTTGTACAGTTGTAACTATTAAATAATTATCAGGATATATTTTGTAATGGCAAATTATTCATCCCTACCTGACAAGGATTAAAGAGCATTACTTTTGGTAGGATTTCCTCCACTGGGGTTACCTAATGTCTTGCTGTGTGTAAGTTAGCATCAATGAGAACCACGCACCACTGGGGCTTCAAATAGCTATTATTTTCACGCTCAACTGCTTTCTATGAGCAAAAGGTGATTTCCAGGTTCCCTCCAGTTTGGGACTTCTTGTCAGCCAGTGATTGGAATTAAAATAAAATGGAAAATATAAGCAAATTATAGCTGTTAAAAGCACGTGTATTTTCACAGCAGAAGTGTTAAACAATACATGATAATGCTGTGTCCACAAATGAGATCAAACACAATGTAATGTCTCCCACCCCAGTTGACCATGACATCTTATGGCACATTTGAGATTTAAGGCATCACATTCAGGTGTCATCAATGTTTTTCATTGTGTTTGCATGCCCTCCCTCATGAGCATGGATTGATAAATTCAACTGTACTTGTTCGCTACGTTGGGGAAAATACTTGATGATGTATTTGCTTACGGAATACGGAATTACATTATATAATTTCTGTAAGTAAGTATATGTATTTCTGAAACATATTCTATTACATGGTCTAACTTTATTCCCTGTGGGGAATCAGAGATTTGACTATTCTTCTAGTCTCCTCTCCAATACCTGGAAAAGAAGGACTGGTCTGCCTTTCCAAAGGTACTAGCCCTGATCCAGCAGCAATGAGACACATCCCTGACATCTCAGAACTCCATCACATGGCGGCTGAGATGGGGGCAGTGACCGGTCACACCACAGATCGCCATCTCTCTCTATGAGAAGAGAGGCCACGTTGTATGGTTCAACTCTTTTCTGATAGAGTATTCGAGGTCTGTGCCTTTGACCACCACTCTGCACCTGCACCTGTCCCCCATGAATCCTTCTGCAGCTGGTCAGTTTGGCCGGTCGGTTTGGGCTAGGTGCTCACTCGGTGCTCACATGAGCCCCAACTCTAGGCCTGACTCCAATTTGGGTCCTTGATTACACCATACCGGGGAGATCACCCAGTTTTCATTATTATTTGTGTAATGTCATGTCCTTTAAATCATACATTACATTATGAATTATGAAAATGTATTACTTTGGATTACTTTTGTTACTATTAATGAATACTGCCCAAAGCAACTGCACCCAAATCAAAAAAAATATTTATTCTGATTGTGACTCCCCAACATCAGCTGTTAGCATAATTATTTTTAAACTGTAACTGCAAGGGGCACTTTTACAGGTTAATAAGAATATAACCTTGTAAGTGCTGTGTTCATTTAGTCCTATCTGAAAAGATTTGCTTTATAGGTAACCTTACAATGTAATTTGTGATGTCCTGTTCACTGGGATAACTTGTAGATTTCCGCTCCTTCTGGCTTGAATAATGCCGAGCATTTGCGTGGAAGCCATGCCCCAGGGTATGGAGAGAACCAGAGCAGACTGTCTCATGAAAAGAGTGATTGCCTGATGTAGCGGCTGCTGAAGGGGTGGATCGGCACCAGGACTGCATATTGTTTCTTTTATGTAATTGATTTCACAGAGGGATACTGTCATTTTGTTCAGTGGATTGGGTTCAGCTGGTCTTCTTAAAATAGTCACTTTATAGATTTTTGTGTGTTAGCTGTGTCTCGAGGTGGGAGGGAGTGCCGTCAGCATGGATCAAGGGGTGCTGACACGCCAGCTTTTCATCATCCTCCTCTGACAGAGGACCAATTTCACACACTGTCCATTTGGAGCTGATAGTCCCTGCCTCTCCCATTGTTAGATAACATAATGTCTGAACCAATGAAACTCTTTTCCTCATAAGTCCGTGCTGCAGCCACTTGTTCAAATTGACACGATAGATCAATGACAGGGAGGGATTACTTTCAAATGTGTTCAAAAGCTGCCAGAGAATGATTTGCTTGGGTTAGATCAAGTGGTTCATAGCATTGTTCTGTGTGGCTGGAGTTTACTGTGCTGTGACAGACTCTGGCTGCTTTGCAATAGAGTAAAATGTCTTATGTTTGGAATCACTGCTATTAGTGGGTTATAAGATCCATTTAGATTTCAAAAGTGTATATGGCTAAATTGACTTAACCTTTATTGTTTATATTTTACTCATGTAGAATGTCATTTCATGTCATGTAACAAGGTCATGGTATTGAGGCTGAACTATAAAGAGTTACAAACTGTAAACTATATCGTCTGATTGAATCCACTTTAATAATGACTAAATTCACACATTGTAGGTTTGATCCTGATAAATACCCAGCCCACGACTTGCGACAAAACTTCTGTCGAAATCCCAACAACGACCCTGGTGGTCCTTGGTGCTACACCATTGATCCAAATGTACGTGCTGAGGAGTGTGGCTTACCACAATGTTCAGAGGGTAAGAGCCATCTGACCAATTCACCAAACAGATATAAGAGTTTACATTGTGTGTTAATTGTGTAACTTGTGCTGTGCATGTCTCCACAGAGGAATGTATGAAGTGTAATGGAGAGGATTATAGAGGAAAAGTAGATCACACAGAGAATGGTCGGGAGTGCCAAAGATGGGACTCAGTTCGTCCGCATAAACACATCTACCAGCCTAAAAAGTAAGAAAAGTTATTTAATAGAAACAGAAGGCTATGTATCCTTTGGGGGATAGACCTCACACATTGTTTATGGGGACTCATATGTTTTCTTTTCTCTCTGTTGTCAGGTACCGTGACAAAGACTTAAAGGATAACTACTGTCGTAACCCAGATAATCGCTTGCGTCCCTGGTGTTACACCATGGATCCAAAAGTTTCTTGGGAATACTGTAACATCACTGTGTGTGGTAAGAAATGGTTCCAGACTAAGGGGTATTTTTTATCAATCCGAGAGATGAACATTGTGTGTGCAATTGACCAATTTATCTCTGTACATGCATCGTAAATAACTTTGCTAAAATGTTAAGAGTTTTAATCCATTTTGCACACAAGCCAATTACAAACATACCCTTAAGTGTTAAAAGGCTGTAATGATGCCTTGTGCCACAATTCATATGCTACAAAATATATATTTACATATACACATGTCAACAGAATGTGCAATATCAATAATCCTTTGGTCAGAAGCAAGAGGCTCAGGAGTCTGAGAACAGTAAACATAATTATCTATTCTGATTTGGTATTGGAGCTGACCTAAACACTGACCTATAATGATGAGGAAAAACCTCTTGTTTCTATTGTATTCTCTGAGAAACTGGTTTTAGAGAACCACTTAGACCAGAAGAGTTTTAGCTGAGTTTATACTTTGCCGTAAAAAAACCCCCACTTTTTTAAGCTTTGAAAATCTTGTACATTGAAAATGTTTTAAAGTATCAATATGTAAGATTTTCATGTCAAGTCATCATTAAATGGCCCTAATCTGTAAAAATGCATTAATCAACCATGATATCCTAAATACTTCTTTAACTGATAACAGTTGTTCAGCCGAGATATTGGAATTTCAAAATTAGATTTACAGCCCCTAAATCTTGTTATTATTTTTTATTTAGATGTCCAGCCCTCCACCGCTTTACCAGAACCGGGTTGCTAGAACTCACAGCATTTCGCTAATCTCACTAGTAAAGCAACATGTGGCCCAGGCTGTACAGTGATAATTGGCCTAGACCTAAAATTGAAAATTTGAGAGATAAACACATCCTGATTATTAGTGGTTTAAAATATCTGCATTCTAGTTTCTTTAAATTTTATGGTTAGTGACTACTATTTCGTAATGATAATAGTAATAACTCTAATTATAATAATAATAAAACATTCATAAATACACAACATGTCTTGCATTTACAAGTATTTGAAACAAAATGCTATTTACCAAGTGTAACAACAATACTGCCATTTCTAAGTCTCGTCATTTATCGTTGCATGATAACGTGATGTCCCATGTGCAACAAGAGCATATTCGTGAGATAAGATACAATGTATTGTGGGTTACAAGGCTACATTGTTGCAGAAAAAAAGCTGTCCGTTATATTTATGAACACAAACAAAATATCATTACATCTCTTAGTGTCAACACATAAGTAAAAAAGCCCGACCTGAGCACAAATGGGATAAGATCAACAGATAAACATTTTTTAAACTGGAAAATTGAATGATAAAAATATGAAAACCCAATATTTCAGGATAAAGTGTGCATTTGTCCTGACTGTGTTCGTTTAAAATTCCCACTGCTGTTGGGACAACCGGTAGGTCCTTGACACACATCCTCTCGTTCATACACACATGCAGCCGCGCACACACTTTACATGCACATACAGTGATTTACTATGGACAGAGGATCTGCATTTGTCCAGATGTGTGTATCCGTGTATAGCTGCTCCTAGAAAGATAAAAACCACTGACCTGTACATGGTACAGCACAGACACTGGCATGTGTTACATCAAACCAAAGATTCCTCATCCACGGCCTTCACTTTCCTCCTCAAAACATTGCTTTCACTCCTCCATCTGCTGCATCGTATTTGTCAAAGGCTAAGGAAACAGAGACAGAAATCCTGAAGGGAGAAGTTTTGTCTATCCCAGGCTGAATTCCATTTCATCATGTTTGGAATAGTTTCCCTATGAATATAACACTAGTACACTTTAGTATTTATTTGAATATTTTTGTTTTTTAAACAAATAAGCTGGTAGCTGTTGTCAGTGTGCACCCCTCATTATGTGCTGTCAGAAGATGACAGCTGACTTCTGTTGTGGGTGTACCTGCATTACATACAAGAATGTGAAGCACCATTATTATGGATACAGAGAGTTTCCTATGTCAGTGGAGTGATGTTACTGTTTTTGATCATCTGTTACTGGGTTAAATATGACACATTCTTCGAGGGATTAAAGTCTCCCTTCTTGGCTTTGTCTTAAATTTGCTATGGCTGTCTGCACCTTACTTATTACTGTTAATCATTTGTTTTGTTCTAATATTAAAGGTATTAAGGAGGATTGTTCTTTCCAAATTTTAGGAAAGAACATGTCTGGCCTATTAAAACATGTCTGGCTTATCACCAGAATGATTGACAATTAGGAGAACCAATAGTCTAGATGATCAGAATCATCAGAATCTGAATCAGAATCATTTTTATTGCCACTTAAGTAACAGGAGGTCACAGACTAGGAAATTGCTTTGGCTCAGTGCAACAGTCAAAAAGAGACAATAAAAATAAGAATAAACAAAAAAAAAAGATCCACCTGGAAGAAGAAAATCCTCCATATTTCTTTAACAATGAATGTTTCTTTTCTGTCCTTAGACTCAAACTACAGTAAGGAGAGTACTGCTAATTTGTCAACCTCCTGTGTAGAGGGGAACGGGGATAATTACAGGGGAACTACAAATGTCACTCCAGATGGTGTGTTCTGTCAGCGTTGGGATGCACAGTTCCCCCATCGACACTCTTATCTGCCTGAGAACTACAAGTGCAAGTTAGTCATATCTGTAATTGCATGTGTTATACAAGTGAAATGAACATGAAATGACATCCTGCCTGTCTATTGTGTCCATGCTAGAGATCTGAGGGAGAATTACTGCCGTAACCCTGATGGCTCAGATCATCCATGGTGCTTTACCACAAATCCAAATCAGAGAAAAGCAAACTGCACTCAGATCCCACAGTGTGGCGCTGAAGCCTCTCCAGAAACCGGTGGGTACTCATTTATATAACAATATGACTCAATGTGACTGATTTAAAAACTTTTAATTTCTTTTACATGGTATTAAACAGACACTTTCAGTATTGTACCCAAATTATTCATAAACATAAACTCTACTCTGTGCGTGTACATTGCTTCTCATCCACTTCTAAATCCACAAACCTGACTTGTACTTTTTGTTTGTTGCCTTTGAATTGTAATTCCCATGGCTATGTATAGATATTCAATAAGAATGTTCCAAAGTATAATTGAAAAGGATTCATGCACTCTGTAAATGTGGGACTACAGATGGAATTTAGCTACATAGCTACATTCTGGTGTATTTACAGCTCCTGCTGTTTATTAATACGCGCTGTCCCATCCAAATAAACAAAAGGATTTTGTAACTCTACATAATACTAGCCTAGATTCAAATACTTAATTACTGTGAATTAGATGCAGGTTTAAGTAACTAAGTAGAGTAACACATTACTTTTAAAAAACACGCCAGTGAGGTTATTGACTGAGGTTTTGGAGCAGGGCCACGCCTCAACCTTCTCCTGCCCCTCCCCAGTCAATCATACGTCGCCTCTTCGTCCACACCTCTATTAACCAGAAGCCATTTTTTCTAGATTTGGCGCTCTCAACAGACTGACAGACTGACCGTCTGTGTAAAGCTTTGCTTGCGTGTGCTCATGGTAAAGTCAAATTATCTGGAGCAAAAATCCCCCCTTCCATATCCCATTCTGACCTGTTCAGAGGACCAGCATCCTGCATCGCTTCATAGTGATCTGAAAAAGTGCTTTCTTTGGCAGCTCTGAAATTACCCTGAATATTATTCCACCATCATCATCATTGCTTTCCTCCATTCCGGGTCCATAGTTCCTGGAATCAGCCTCGGTTTTGGTGTGCAAAGCTGCCTTAGCTAGTCCGTGATTACACTAAATCCCTCTTATGCTCAATCATGTCTCATTCTCATAATTGTCTCTGCTGCGTAACTTCTGCGTACATCCACATATGGCTCATGTACTCCAACGCTATTTTAGCTAATTCTGCTTACGTCCACGCTACATGGTCTCACTTACTTCCACGTTGCTCTTACACATTCTAGCTTACACATTTTTGCTACTTTAGCATGTTCACTTGTTTCTCCTTCAGCTTAAGGTAGTCTACTTTCCAAACTCTGTCTGCTTTGCTAGGCACTGAGAGGCCACCTCAACCAGTTACATTCCAGCTTACATACACAATGTCCTTCATGCATACGGTGTGCTTCGCTAGTAAACTCCATCAAATTTACCAAGATCTCCACCTTGGAGCCTGGAACGTTGAACGTAGAGTCTCCTCAGTGCGTTACTGTCCACGGACCTCTGTGGAGCTTACTCTCACTCAGCCTATCCTACTGTAACTTTCACAATTACCATCCTTCTACATTTCTTCACATCCATTCCTTTTGCAGAGGTGCTCATTCAACAATAACTTGCTTTTCCTATAGAGAAAAATGATGACTCATAGATTTTGGTTCAACAAATATTTCACATGTCACTTGGATGTTTATTGTAGCTATCAATAGACATTTTTCATTTGCAATTTATTGTGGTGGCGTGGTCCTTGCCAGTGAATTGTAATTAGATTGTAATTACTACTTACTAGTTACTTGAACCACCAATAATGATTGGTACTGATTGGTACACCAATAATGTATTGGTTGTCGCATGGCGCCGTAAAGATGGCGCCGTGGCAAGAGCTCTGGTGTGCGTCGTCTTCTCTGTCTGGTGCACACCGGGGTAGTCTTGCACAGTTTTTCCAATGTGGTTTTACTGCAAATGGCAAATAAATGAATCTGAATCTGAATCTGAATCTATGTTGTTGGTGTTGTAATCAAACATGTTTTTTTATTTTGAGTAAATTCAAATGAATTTATGGTAACTCAATAACTTTCTTTAAGAGGTTTTTTTACAGTAAATATTTGCTTTTTCAAAGTAAATTACCCAACACTGCTGGTAAGTCAGTGCTTTGGAAAACATTCTCGACTGTGAAGGTCATATAATAAATATTATTTTCTTTCACAGAATGTTATGAAGACACCGGAGAGACCTACCAGGGAACATTATCTATCACTCGATCAGGAATACCATGTGCAAATTGGTCACAGCATATAAACAGGTACAACGTTTTTTATTAATAAAACCTTTTATAATGGCGAACAGCCAGGGGAACCACAAAGGTCAGCATTGAGGTTTTTTTGAGTATTACTCAAAAAAACCTCAAAGTATTAGTATTTGAGTTACAAAAGCTAGTTGTTGAAATAAAAACTGTTAGAATTAATTACTTTTGGGGCATTTAGAAAACCATAATGGTACAGACAGATGGACATGCTCCAGAACTGACCTGTGGCCTCAGGAAGTACTTTTGGAGGGAACAGATCAAAGCCAATCAGCTCCTGCACATCGGCTGCAGCCAGCGAGTCTGTGAGTTGGAGGTGAAGGGTCAGCAGAGTAGAAATGCTGAGATCTTCACCTTCTTGGAAAGTGAAATGAGTCTAACGCCTGTCTGTTACTTTTAAATCTGATATTTAGTTACGACAGTACTGAAACACATAATATAACGTTTGTTTTTTGTTTTTTTTTAACGTTTGGATTACAACCAAAATTATGTTATAAACAACTTGGCTCATGCTATACATATTTTCATTCTCCCATGAGCACTTTTCAACCAGATCAATTTGCTTTTATAGGGTCTGGGTTCTTCAACAGTGCAGCCACACGCTTTCTACTAAATGTGCCATACAAATATAGCTGACATGGACATTTGTTGGCATGTCATGCATGTCTATAGGTATTTTTATTGTTGTGCAAAAAAGCACGTGAGCAGGTAAATAAAAAAAACATTGTGTGTTTTTCAGTGCAGATTCACACTCTACAATATCCCATGTCTGGTTAGAGAAGAACTACTGCCGAAACCCAGACAGAGACAAGCATGGCCCCTGGTGTTACACAAACCCAAACACACGCCTGTCCTGGGACTACTGCAAGCTGAAGCAGTGTAAGTGCTCTCATTCATTTTACGGATTCCTATTCAATTCAAGTTATTAATTCCTATTAGTCTTGTATAGTCCTAAATCACAACTGTAGTTATCTCAGAGGGCTTCCCAAAACCGTTTAATTCACCAACACAGATCAGAGAATCAGATCAAAGAAAAGAGAACACATATCATTTAAAAAAGATGATGCCCAATATAGCTTTGAATATTCAGGGCTGTCTAATATTAATTTGAATATAATATGTTATATACAAGCATGAGCGCGATGATTGACAGCCCTTGGCATCATTTGATTGGTTAAAGTGGACGGCATTGTGGATTTTGAACTATAGCTAACATTAGGGAAGGCGGGACTTACCCGTAATGAAGCTGAAGCGCAAATTCAGACTGAAAGACCGGCCACAGCTCTTACCCGTCCAGGGTCAGCCAATCACACAGCTCTGCCAGCCTCAAGCCTCTGCCCATCACACAGCCCGGCCAGCCTCTCGCCAACCCACTGTCAGCATCAGTCACTTCCTGATAAACAGGGCTTCCTGAGGCTCTTAAGACCCAGCGCCTCCTCAAGCTCCTGGTTCCTGCCCTGGCTCCTGCCCTGGCTCCTGCTCCGCCTGCGCCCCATTCACACCATGCTTCAAGCCTGCATTAATGTTTCTGTCTTGGTCCCTTCAGTTTGAAATATTATAACTCATAAAAAGGACTCATTTTATATCAGCATTTAAGCCCAGGAGGTCAATTTAATATAATTCTTAGAATGTGTAATTCATTTACAGTTTCTCTGTGCCTTTTGTCTAAAAGACATGCACTGAGTTCTGTTCTCTGTGTTGATTTTAGGTGAATCTACGACGGCCGTCCCTCAAGTCAGCTGTAAGACATGAATTGATATGATTTAGAATATTTAATCAACAGAACCTACGTTTAAATAAGCACCATGTCCACAATGTGTTTCAGATGGCGCAAGAGCAAAGGTCTCATGCTTCGTGCACATAAACACACGGATAGTTGGGGGTCATAAAGTCCGAGGATCTGATGGCAGTTGGGTTGTTAGCATCCAGAGAGAGTAAGAAATTTATATAGACATACAATTATTTGATTTTTAGTGTTGAATGTATTTGACAAGTGTGATTTTATTCAAGGAACGTTCATCTGTGTGGAGGCTCTTTGATCAGAGAGGACTGGATTCTAACTGATCAACAGTGTTTCACCTCATGGTAAATCTTTACTCTCTAAAGCTTTTACTGATTCGTCCATCAGTGTGGAATGCCAGCCCCCTTGTGTACCGCATGGCCTTCTGTATGAGTATGCGCGTATGTCTCTGTAGCTGTCTCAGATAACGCAACAACTTGGTGACAAATTGTTCCCTGCGTTAAACAGTCTACATAATGATTTATGGCTGGTGTCCGGTGTGTCTTCTGTTTTCGGGAGCAGTGTTCCAGATCTGAAAGACTACAGTGTGCAGGTTGGGCTGAGGAAGCTCAATGAGTCCTTTAACCATCCCAGACTCCGGATCTCCCAGCTCATCTGTGGCCCAGAGAAGTCCAACCTTGTCATGCTAAAATTATCAAAGTAAGCCACTTTCCAAGTTTTCTTTTAGATATGTATTTTTCAGCTGTTAATTTGTGCATGTATGTATAGAGTTAGGTCCATAAATTATGGGATGGTGATACAATTGTTTTCTTATTAACACTATACCACCACACAATATTTGAAATCAGTTTGAGCAGTAATTCCAGTGTCCTTTTATTACTGGCCACTCATAGAAACAGATTTAGTTCCTACACTGTAGGAATTACACTGATTGGGGTCAAAATAACCTAAAAAAATGGTCAAAGCACAATTGAAGTCGTTAAAGCACATATTTCTCTTTTCATTCAAAATCCATGGTGGTGATAAAGAATACAATATTTATTAACCGGTTGCATCTTTGTGTCCGTGCACGTGTGTGTGTGATAAATAATCTTTATAGATTTCCTTTTCCACTGTTTCCTAGTCCTGCTCCTTTGTCTGAGGGTGCATCCACAATTCATCTTCCTGTGAAAGAGTGTCACATCCCTGAAGGCACAAATTGTACCATGTATGGCTGGGGGGAAACCAAAGGTACAGTATAATACTCATGTCACCAAATGTGACATTGAATTCTCTCCTGACATACTCATCTTGTGTTGCAGGCACAGGGTCTGATGACACATTGAACTCAGTCACCATGCCATTGGATGCCAAGATGTGCTCACAAATAAAAGGGGATGCTGGGGACAGCAGAATATGTGCGGGAGGCAGAAGAGGAGAGGGGGTGTGTGATGTAAGTTTATTTTGATGGGATTGTCACAATAATGTTGTTGTTTTATATGACACCACACCTTTACCTTCACAGAGGGACTATGGAGGACCACTGGTCTGTCAAGAGCATGAACGCAAAGTCATCATTGGTGTGAGCATTCAAAGGACCAAATGTGCTTCTTCACAACCAGCACTATTTGTCAATGTTGCTTTCTATTCTGAGTGGATTTACAAAGTCTTCAAACTTTACCCTGGTGTAGAGAGAAAATGAACATGGAACAAGACAATGGAAATTCATCCCCTTATTATGAGAATATAATTGAATGTTTCAACCCAGATGGAAACGCCACATGGGATAAATAACGGAAGATATTATTACAAGTCCTGGGCACATAGAGTAATTGTTTTTGCATGCTCAGAAAGCCATGCAAACAAAGACTGAAAAACATGTCAATGTCTTTTGGATTATACTTGAATTTTGATGGAGGACAAGGGTTCCCCGTGGCTCTTCAAGAGACATAAGGACTGATCTGCACCATTAGACTGTTCAAAAACACATGTAGTATGAACTTTTGGTTCAGCTTCACCAAATATTGTGCACTGTATGTTTCTCCACTCCTGGGATATCTTGGTTTTATAATGCTCTCTGCCTGTATTGTTACATTTTGATCAAAACTATTCATATCCAAAGTAATCGATACATTTATGCTACATAAAATAGTTGTAGACTAAAATTTATTTAGAAAATCTGGCTAGTTTTAGGTTTCTCCTTCAAACTTAATTCAGTAAAGGTCAGTTTACCCGTGAGAGGCTCGCAGAGGTACTCCACAAATGGCCTCAAATCTTGTGCTAATATTTGTAGCATGAGAATGAGAGGAGAGCAATGCCAAATATAACATAGCTACTCAGTCTCCTGTTTGGAGGGAACTCTGGCCCTTGGCGGGCTGTGTGTGGTCAGTAGGGTAGTTTGCACTTCTTAAGGGTGGAAACTGCAGCTTTAAAGAATATTTTTGCCACAATTGTATGGGTCTTATAGATCCAAGTATTGTCGTTCTTGAAAATATTGTAATATACTGTATATCCTATTTATTTTTTATGTGAGCTCAGCTGCAGACCTACACCATTGTCATTTTCCTGGCTTAAAAACAAAAAGTATACAAAGCAATTACAGAATCGGCATATGTGTTGGCCATTATCAGAGTGAAAAGGCATTAGTGAAGTATCCATAGAGGAAAGTCTATATGGTGACCAGTGTTGGGTATTTTAAACAATTATCTAGTTACACTTTTTTATTAATTTCTAATAATAGATTACAGTTCTTCCAGTAAGTTACTTGGTGACATTGCCTTTTTATTATGTTTCTTTATATGTTTTAATATTTGTTGAAATATAGATAAAGATCAAATTATTTATATTCTCTGGCTGAAATGTACATTGGAGACATCAGTACATCAGTGCTAATAATGCCTTGAGGTTTTTATAAAGCAGAATCATGTGGGCACATTGATCCACCTTTAAGCTGTTATATGTTAGTTTAATAGTTTGTAACACCAACAATTCGCAAGCTTTTGTTACCAAGTATTTTTAAATGAATGTGTTTCACTCGTTAAATGTAATCTAATGACTGTAACAGTACTGTGCAAAGTATTTGTATTTGTGGTACCCAACACTGACATCTCACATAAAGTCTTATGTAAACTTTCAACACATTCCTGGACAAGATATGGTACTACTGTTTGTTTAAAAACATTGACCAGACATGTCCACTTCAAGTTGCATTCTGGAAACTGGTTTAAAGAAAAATGTTTTCATTTGTTTTTTGTTTGATTTATAATTTTAATCCGAAAATTCCTATCAAATAATCATATACTATAAGTATACAATATTTTTTGCCTATTAATTGAGAACATCAAGGTCTCAGTGTTCATGGTTTAAAATATGGAATTGGTCGTGAATCCACTACGCAACAGTTCACAAACTAATCTAAAAGTTGAGGATAGAAACATGCTCTCTTTGACGTACTGCATGGTTTACAGGTGTATTTGGCTACTTCTCATGCGCACAAGACATGATGTTGGACAAAATTAAGCAACAGGTTTTATGGCTATTTGTAGGATTTTTATTTTATTTATCTATGCCTTGTAAATATTGATATAGATGTATTATAGTGCGTTTATAACTGTACATTTTGTAAATACTGTAAATATATCAAAGTACTGTATTTTAACATCTTTTCTCTCATTTTTGTATGGGTAACAGCTGCTATGTCATAATGGAGTGTATGACTTGCCTATTTTTACTCTCTGTATATACTATAGATTATAATAAACACAGAGCATGGGGAAACCAGTATAAAGTATTGTGGTACTCTAAAGAAAAAAAAGGGTAATGGCAACAGTGAATACATTTATTGTAGATGGATACACTTTAAGCTAGTACAGTGTAAACGCTTACAAAGTGTGGCTTTACATTTTGTGGTTAAGACAACTTTGTCTGTGCAAGATTTTGAGGATACTACTGCATTATTCTATATGCTCGTGTTATATATAATATACTTTAGTATTTTGACAAAGCTACTTTGATCCACAGTGTTTCCCAGCTGACCAGTTCCCTCCGACTCAAGTTTACCATCTTTCCCGTACAGTGAAAACATTGAGAGAACCGATCATAGCGATCATATGAAGACACAGAACAGATAGAGGGACATACTTTCCCACTGTCTGGATTAGGAAAACCTGGAAGCGCATTTGGCACTTAGACAAACAGCAAGGCCATAAAAAAGTTAGCATCCATAACATCCACCCAGAGGTGACCTCAAGCAATCTGCAAGCAAGTGATTTATGCTGTAACCATAATAAGCCTTACTGACCAAATATGTTGGGAGGCATTAAATCACAGTAATGTGCAACTTGCCAAAATGTCATTATTTAATGTAATAGCTCTACACAAGATTATCTTATAATCATGAGGTCGATACTCTTGGACAATCTTCAAAGGAAATGTAAACTTCTAAAACAATATTTTATATTATTATTAAGAGCCATTTCAGAAATGTGTTCATTACATCGTGCAGCATTGTCTCATTATATGATACATCTTTGTAAGTGAGACAAATATCTATTGAATAATGTTATAATGTTGAATAATGTGCTTAGAATATGATTGGAAACAGATTGGTGTTTAATCAGTCCTATTCTTCCATCTAGTGGCTAAACTATGATCCTGCAGCCTGAAAAACAAGAACGCGCAATTTGTTTTAATCAGGGTTTGTTAGTTTGCAACGTCACAATTTTTTTTGTACAGCCTTTGAAAAAGTAAGCATTTTGCTTCAGCCCTCTACTTTTCAATAAGTATATTGCTCAACTAAATAATGAAAAATCATTACGTTTTTAGGAATGAAGTTGGGTCTGCACCTCTAGGGGGAAATCTGTGCTCTGTAACTGCAATGCAGTTTCTGAAATGCATATAAAATATCTGGACAACAGGAAAATGCTTTATTACAGAAAATTGTAGGATGACCTTTTGACCAAACTTCTCTCTTTGTCCCTTTGTCCTAATTCAGCTCAGTTCAATTCTACTATCAAAATCAGTTTAAGCTTTAATTTCCTTGACATTGGACTAAATAAGTCAAACGTCTGACTTAGTGTCCACCCATGTATTGATGTTCCTTGACCTCCCAAGGTTGTGAGTAGAAATTCCTCTCATATGTTTGGCTCCATGTAAAAGGAGGTCTGTGTAGGCTCCAGAATTCTGTCAGAGGGCTGTAATCCCTTCCCATTGTGTCTGCAGGCAACGTGAGATATGGCCTTGTGTCCATGTGTCCTGAGTCGAGCCGAGCCAGACGAGGCTTCTCTGTGTTTTCAATCAGTCCATTGTTCCACTGATGAAGGTAAGGCTGAGGTACAGGAACTGATGGTGGATGCTCATCGTTCATTGATACTGTGAAGTTGAGAAGAACAACCTTTGAAGTAAATTAAATCCACACACTGTATCATAAAATTAAAAAAACATGGGAAAATTATATAGTAAATTCTGTCATTTTAATTAGTAACCTACTTTTGATGTGGTCGTAGACTGGACTTAGGATGGAACTGTCAGTAAACTCATGACAAACACCAGGCGTGCTTACCTTAGCAAAAGAATAAGCAAAATGTGAATGAGTTTAAGATCAAAACTCTATCTAGATGGAAGAGAATAGATCAATACTTACATGGTGCAAAGAAACACTGCTTGTATTACTTTGACCAACAGATGAATAATCCTGTTTATTGACTACAGCTGTAACACAAAACTTACTTTAACTGATTTAAATGTATAGGTGTAAAATCTTATCTTTACTCCTTACGCTTTGTTGTATTTTGTTCTTTCCTCCATTTGGCTCTTCTGTTCGAAAACCAAATCTATAATTAGGGTAGTTATGTCAAAAACATTAATATTTTCAATTGAATATTTGAGGAAGAAAATGATAAAAAGCTACCTTGATAATGTCATCTGGAAGATGGATCATAGCTGAAAGTTTCCCCCTTGTAGACATGTCAGCATAATGGCAAAGAGAAAACTCTAGAAGTCAATCAGTCATTACATGCTCAGTAAGTTCAGACAGTGGTCATGTCACATGTTAGTCTTACCTTGTTCAAGTGCTTGGGTCTGGACTGGGGTGAAGGTGGTGCGGTATCTGTGTGGATCATCCCTGGAATTATCTTGACTGCTCTTGATTTCACCATTGTCTTTTAATATCAATTCATCTGGAGTAAGGTAGAACATCAAAACATACAATATGCTGTACTTAATAATTCAGAATATGCATATAGGCACATGCTTATGCTTACTCAAACACATGCTTACCATGATCAGATAAAACTTGCGTATTCATCTCCAGACTCAGTGGCCCATGCATTATGTTAATATTTCTAAGGGTGCGATTGATAGAAGAAACCTTTGAAAAAGAAATATATGTTGGCACTTTTACTAGGTTTTCTCAGATGTCTGCGTCTAAAAAATGAGCAAGACTCACGCTGGGAACTTTGAGGCCTTTAAGGCTCTGCTTGGCTGTAAGTCGATTCCGTATTTCCCAGGCAAAGATGTTGGGATTTTCGCGTTTACACTGGATAATGGTCTGGATGACATCTGGAGTGAGGAGTCGCGGTCTACTCCCACCAATAGTCCTGGGCTCCAGGAGTCCTGTGCGGCGGTAGCGACTCAGGATCTTGCTCACGCAGCCGTTTGACACCTACAGCACATCTCAAGGTATTATATTTGATTTGAACATGAAATATAAGCCGACGTACCTGCAGTATTCTAGAAATCTCACTTGGACGCACTCCCTCAGAGGCCAGTTCTATCATTTTTCTCCGTTTGAGCTGAGGGAGAGGTCTTCCGTTCAGAAATATGCCTCCCATCTGGTTCACACTGCCGGATTCTAAACACACAAAAGATTCAGTAACAAGAACACATAGATGATACGTTTATAGACAAGTAAAAAGAGACTACCATAGATATGTAATTCAGAGTTTGATCCACACATCTCTAAAACTTCTCCAACACGTACAGGTTTTATAAAAAAAGATTCACACAAAAGTATTTTGTTAGAAGTAACTTTACAGACAGATCTCACGTTTGCGCACAAACCCGGGCCAACCTTTTATGGAGAAGTGGAGTGATGACGTCGTGGGCACTACCCACTACCTGCGAGTCCATATGAGCAGGCACAATGCACGTGTTTGAGAGCATCTACATGTTTTGACACAGGTTAATGGTAAACCTACTACAATACAAACCAATGCCTCTCCGAAAGATACATGTTTTTGGATTCCAGATTATCGATAATAACATTTGCAATTGCACCTAATGACATACAGTCGATCGTTTAACTTTAGATGGATTGTGTCTAAATAGTTTGACCTATCGCCGTTTTAAGAATGATGTCGTTAGAATAGAGATTAAACACTGTACTCAAAGGCAATGCGTTTAGGTTTCATATTCGTATTGTCTTAAATGCAATTGAATCACTGATTGGTAGACTGGTGTAGAAAAAAAATCTGTTTGAAAAGTCTGCTGTTTGATTCTAGTACAAAAGTGAGCAGTACAATAGATACAAAGTATAATGATAAGACTTTATTTTAAATGGTAGCCTAACAGTGCCTTTACCTGAGTCACGTGACCTTCCCTTGGTTGAGTGGTCCATATTAACAACATCCCTGGCTCCTTTCAGAAAATATTTGCAGGTAAGTGTATTACAATTATGTTCATGTGATACTTTTGACAAAGTACATATGAAAATATATATATTTCATGAATAATAAAGGACCAATTCACCGTCTTCTATAAATAGCCCTATATATTTTATTTCAATTTTAAGAAAAGACCGCCTAAACTCCTCACAGATGTTCCTTGGACAGGCTGTAGATAAAATGCGTTGTAAAGGTTTCAAAGGAAAATATTTGAACAGCAAATATTAGCCTATGTGAAGGGACATACGAGTCAGGTCTTTCCTCTGTTTAATGACTAATTGAATATCATTAGTTGGGTCCACAAAGATCGAAGAGCCACCGAAATAAAGGCTTGGATTCTGAAATGCCATATGGTCCAAATTATACATTAACCACTAGTTACACGACAATAATTCTCTGCGTGTATAATCAGTCATGTTAGATAGGGGACAGTCATTTTGGACACCATGATCTCCATGCCAACAAGACGGAGAACAAATATTACACGGGTTTTTATTCATAATGTGGGTATGCCCTTTGATGGCCTGTATTTTCTGGCTATACGTTATGTACCGAGAAGATTTCGTGTCGCCTTTTGACACCACATAACGGCACTGTGGTGCGTAAAGAGAGAGAAACTTCTCCAAAAACTTGGCATAGTTTTCATGATTTGCATTCAACTCTCAGATAAGTTCGTAAAGTGCCATAACTGCGTTGCATCCTGCTCAGATGAGTGGAAATACGCATACAAACCCATTATAATTTGTCAAACAGCAAGAGCATATTAGTATTTAGAGCGCGTAAAAATGATTTGCAAGGGTGTCCAACGTGCGCAATGGCCCCGCAGGTGCGCATTCGGCCAATAATGCACGACATTATTACTCACCCCGATCTATTATTATAAATTCTGTCGTTATTTCTTGCTATAGTCTACTGCAATCTACTAAATGGGAATGGTTTTGCTGTTTTTTTTGGTCAAATATGGATTAGTTGGTCTTATGTATGTAAATAGATAATAACTTGTGGTACTATAATCATTCATGAAATTTAAACAGGAAAACAGTAAAATATATCAAGAGTCTTTGAACCTATGTGTTGGCTTAATCACATTTAATCTCCCACTCGCATTTGCGCCATTCGGCTTGATTGGTTATAACCATAATTTACAAGCATTAAGTCCTGGACCTTTTTTGTGAATTGGATTGCTTTCATTTCACAACACTAGAGATACAAGCCAACAGAACTTTTTCTGAACTGGGACAAAAGGGAGACTTCAAAATGCGTGTTTCAATTAAGGTGGTATTTCTGGGACTGGTGGGTCACATAATTTCCATGTAGACCGAGATACATGTTCTTTTGGTAACATATCAAGATTGCACCAACATTTTTTATTTCTATAAATCCCAAAGCATCTGCAATTAATAATCTATTACATCGGCTCAGTTCTAATAGGATAAGGCATGTTGCGTTCAAAAGCATATTATCGAAATACCGCGCTACATCGCAACTACTGTTATACTTAATTGTGTAAATGTGGCTCTACAGATAACTAATTATGTGCTAACGAGTTGGATGTGTTTGTATAGTTTTTTTTTTATTTTTTTCAAACGATTGAGCAGTTAGATATAATTTGTTGTAAGGTTATAAGGTGTTATAAAGTATTGACATGAGGTATCTTGAACGCAGCAGCGGTCCATGCTGAGCTGACGTGTCGCAGCTTTCGCTCCGGAAGGGATCCTGTTCAATTCGCGTACGCGCTCAAGCCGCGGCTCCACTCGCTCCCATTCATTTAAGTCTACGGTCCCGGAATTACTTGTATGTGCCTGTGTGTATGGTGTGTGTGCATGGAAGACTGGGTTTCCGGTATAACGTGTGTGTTGGTCCGTGCTCAGCCTTTCTCTCTTGGTTGTCAGTAGAACAGTCAGTCTTTTCAGAGTCCCAGCTCTTTTAACTGGTTCCCTCTCATCGGCTCAGATCTCTTGACAGTGGACATGGCTTCAGTTTCGGCTCCTGCTCAGACAGCCCCTGCTTCTTTGCAGAGAGGCATAGTAAAGATGGTAAGACTGCTTATTGAGTGTAAAAACCTTTTGCGTAAGCATAGGATAAAGCTAGTTAGCCCAAGTAATATACACCCCAAACCACCCCAGTACAGCCCTTGATAACGAAGGGTTGTGCTTTTACTGTTTAGTTAGTATACACTTTCCCACTGAGATTGAAATCACAACCACTAACATGAAACTTTTATTGACACGTCTGCTAAAACGAGCTTAGCATCATGGCTACATCTGGCTAGCTACGTGGCTAATTATCACCTAAGAGTTGTCGATTAATGATCCGTAGAAGACTATTGTGGTATTTCATGTCTTCGGGGCCTGGTTACAAAGATAAATCTATTTTAAAGTGCCAAACCCTTGTAGTAGCTCTAAAAGACAACTCAGAACTTTTGGGTGAAGCTAGTCTGTAGCAGGTGTACAGTTCCCACAAGCTAACCGCTGCCATACTTGTATTTCTTTTTACCCTTCAATGTTTCGGCTGACTGAATCTGTAGCGTAATAACATCACTACTAGGGTTAACACTTACGATCGTTTTCTTGCAGGCTTCAGAGCTTGTTATGATCTAATCTAATGACCATATGTTGTAGCATTAGCCCAACATTCTTGTTAATAAGCGTTATACATACACTAATACAACTATTGCTTTGTTGGACGTTTAGATTCATACGTTTAGATTAATTTGGCTGTATAGTCCTTGCTGTTTGAAGTCCGACCACCGAGTAAGTGACACGTAGATGGCTGTTCAGTGACCGCTCTGACAAGGGGCTTGTATGTAGCTATACCTTTTCCTAAAAAGGGTTTGTCCCTTCATGGTCTTACCCTTATAGTTGCTCGTTATTTATAAATAACTAATTTCATCCTTATATCTTAAAACCATGCTGCCTTTTAAACTTGTGGTACATTTGGTGCTATTGATATAAATTATTCCATCAATTCATATTCACTTTAATATTGCTTATTTTATATAACTTCTGCACATGAACAATTTTTTAAAACTAGTCACAACTTACTTCAAAACTCTAATCAAGTAGCTAGGTTTAGTTGCTAGTAATCATTTGTGAGTTGCCCTTTGATCTTTCTACAACCACACCTCAGGCCTCCACTGTTGTGGTCTTGGACCACTTGTTTGGGGATACTTTATCTCTACTATCATCTAAGATCAACAGACTGTGTGCTCTTAGAGGACAGACAGATAGAATATGTTTGCTCAGATTCATGTAAATGCCACGGTTGTCAACGCTCAAACTCGGTTATCTCTTATAGCCTTTCAACCAAGTTGTCAGATGGTTGGATCGCATCTTGCAGCTGAGTTGCAATCACCATAGAAACAAATTGCGAAATGCAACCAGCTTATGTCTGAAAAACATATCTTCCAGAAACCTGTTAAAACTATCGCATTAGTATATTATACATGATTGTTGACTGATTTAACTTAATGGACTGTTGTTTTGTCTCTCTGTACCATTTAGGTTTTGTCTGGATGTGCCATCATTGTGAGAGGACAGCCTCGAGGAGGACCCCCTCCAGAGCGTCAAATCAATCTAAGCAACATTAGAACTGGGACTATGGCACGCAGAGCTGCCCAGGGACAGCCTGACACCAAGGACATTCCAGATGAGGTAAGATCTACTACAGAGTTTGTTTTTGTGTTGAGGCTTCCATTAGAGATTGACAAAATATATCTCCTACTCATCTTGTCATCAGGTCTTTTCAGCTCAACTCAAGTTAGATTGAAGTTATATTTGTGATGTAGGTGTCAATACAATACTTTTAAGACTAGTTGGAAAGTGCCATTTGAGATACAACAATGTAGCTAATTTTATTTAATTTTCACAGTTTGTTGACTTGACAATATAGAAGATTCAACATTGTCATCGTCTAAGGGGGCAATATATTCAAAATTAAATACAGCCCTTATGTTGGTTGTTGTGGGACAGGACAGGATTTTTACACTTAACTCTTAGTCAGAATTGGGACAGGACAGGATTTTTTTCCATGTTTAGCTGGCCAAGACAAGAATAAAGCGCTTTTAATGTGTTTTTGTGTTTTAATATTCTAGCAGGTCTAACATACAACCATGACCATCATTAAATGTACTTTGTGTATTTTTTGTCTCAATCAGTTTTGTTTTTTTCTTGCTCTAAATGGTACACTCTTTGAAATTGGAGCTGTCATAACATTTTTGCTAGTTGAGGCCACCACTCGTGAAAATGTCCTCCCTACAGAAATGAATGCTCGCCACTCCTAAATAGTCATATTATTATGGATTGGAGGGGGCATCTTAAATATGTTTACACTATTGGACTTTTGTTGAAATCATGAAAAAAACAATTGATGTATGACTGAGACAATGTTTTGTTTTCTTTTGTAGCCCTGGGCCTTCCAAGCCAGAGAGTTCCTGCGAAAAAAGTTAATTGGGAAGGAGGTGTGCTTCACTGTGGAAATCAAAACTGCTTTGGGTCGAGAGTATGGAATGGTTTATCTTGGCAGAGGTATGGACTCCTGCTTATTAATTGGTATTAATAAAAGTACATCCTATTTTATTCTAAATCTATTTGTGCATAGAAGGGGGCCTACCATGATTATTACTATGTCAACTAACTTTTTGATCTTCCAAAACTGCTCCCAACAACCATGTTTAGGTTATTTGGTTATTCTATACTATGATATTTGATGACATATCTTCGTCTTCCTCAGAGGACATTGATCTCTCTTTGAGGCGCTGCATCAGTTCCCCATGAGCAGCGCACTATGTAAACAAAAGTGTGAGCTCAGGTGAAGTCCACAACCCACTCGGCAAGATGTGATCAGTCCATGAAAAATGTGCCTTTACAGTGCATCCAGAAAGTGTTCAACCCCCTTCACATTTTACATTTTGCAAAGTTCCAGCCTTGTTCCAAAATATATCAATGTATTTTGTAACTTTTAATCTACTCTAAATACACTATAATGACAAAGTGAAACACAAAAAAAAAACGTTACTGGAACACAGCTTTGGTAAATTCTACAGGTATGACTTGATTTGGAAATTGAATAACTGACTATTTTTGGGTCAAACAGTGATTGTCAGAGCAGAAATCAAAAAAATTCCTGTAGACTTTTGAAACAGAATCATATTGAGGCAAATACTTGCAGAAGAGTTGAAGGTCTCAAAGAGCACAGGGGCCTCTATCATTTGGACGAGTAGATGATCAAAACCACCAGGACTCTTACTGGAGCCTGTCAAAACTGAGCAATGGGGAAAGGGAAGCCTTGGTCAGGGAGTTGGCCAAGAACCCAATGGTAACTTTGACAGTTTCTGCATTAGCCTGAGCAAATAGGAGTACCTTCCATAACTACAACCATCAATGCAGATCTTCACCAATCAGTTCTTTTTATGGAAGAGTGTCCAGACAAAGCCACTTTTCAGAACGCTGCACATGACAACCCGCTTTGAGCTTGCAAGATGCATGTAAAGTTTTTTATTTTCTGAAGACCAATTTGGCCTGAATACCAAGCTTTGCATTTGGAGACAAAGCACTGATAGTTGTCCTTCTGAAAGGTTCTTCTTTTGACCACCAGTTTCAGTTCATCGCTCTGGCCTTTGTCCTCAAATTGCTCAGTTTGGACAGCGGAGGGAGTCCTGGTGGTTTTTAACTTTTACCTTTCCTAACGATGGAGGCCAGTGTGGTCTTTGAGACCTTGAATGCTGCTCCTCTGTTTTTGTAATTCATCCAGAAATGTGCCTTGAAATGATTCTGTTTTAGAGTTCTGCAGACTGTACCTTAGACATCATGGCTTGGTTCGTGATCTCTGATCAGGGTGGGGCCTTAAATAGACAGATATGTCCCTTTCCAAATACATTTAAATTAGTAGAATGTATCTGTATTGATACTTATTTGCATACTTATGTTGTTTATGTGATTATGTGTTTGATTAGATTAACGGGAGCAAATGAGAATTTGATACATTTTGGATTAGTGCTGTAGCATCACAATGGAAGCTGGTGTACAGGGAGATGCGCAAAGGAGTAAGAACACCTAAGAACATCTGTATTAATGATCCAAGAATCAGAGACATTCTTCCCCAGACGGCAGGTGGAATCGGGCACGTTGAGCTGGGAGAGCTTGTCCTGGAGCAAGGATAGCAGGATGGTGTTGAAAGCAAAGCTGAAATCCACAAACAAGACCCTGGTGTGGTGCACTTAGACCCAGGGAGTCTAAGTGCTGCAGGATATAATGAATGGCCAGGTTTATGCCACCGTCTACAGATTTGTTGGCTCTGTAGGCGAACTGCAGGAGTTCCAGGAGGGAGGAGAGGAAGGACTTAAGATGGGGGAGGACCAAGCGCTCAAATGACGTAATGATTACAAATGTCAGAGCCACAGGTCTGTTGTCATTAAGTCCAGTGATCCAGGTCTTCTTGGGGACAGGGACCTTCAGGGCCGCTTATACCCCGATGATGACCTGCCTACTATACATTATGCCTTACATATGTATAATTTATTCTCCGATTAACGTTTAAATGTGTTGATTGATTGGTATTTGCTTTTATTGAGCGTGGCTAGCGACGAAGTGGCTGGACTACTTGCGGAGTAATCGACACATCTGAAATACAAGCAGAGGTTGCGTTGCCATGGGCAACGGCCATTATTGTTTTGAGAGGTCAGTTATCAAGAAATATTGACCGGTAGAACTTTTTGAAATTACATTTAAATCAATGGAGCGTTCTACTGCTGCTGTGAGGAGCCGTGTAATAATAACATTGAATGTTTATACAGTATTTAATCTCTCAAAATCATGTGTTTTGCATCTTTATGTAGATACAACAGGTGAGAACATTGCTGAAACTCTGGTGAGTGAGGGCCTTGCCACTGTTCGACGGGAAGTGCGAGGAAACAAGTACGTTTTTTTTGCTAACGTAACGTTCTATATTGGAATTCCACACCCTATGATTACAATAATGTCAATGACCAAACAGGATGCAGATATTCACTACCAACATTGTACAACTTGATATGCTACTCAGATTTAAAATATTGACTTAAACTTGCACTCATATCATCCCAAAAAGGTTTTACGGTCTTCCTACCATCACATCATGTCACCTATACAACAAATTTGAGCTCAATTCTGAACATTTTGCGCAATAGTTTTGCAAAATCCTGCTTGTAGACACAAGGATAGATGTAAGTGCATACATACAAAGCAGAAATGTGTAGTAAGTCTTTTGAATTTATTATAGCGCTTTTCATTGATCATGGACACACAATTGCAACCTAATTTCTATTCACTCCACACTGACAGAAGTGAGACTAATACTATATCCTTGCAAATGAGAGGTAAAAAACTTGAATCAAAAAATTATTTGAAAATGTACCAGTAGGTGTCAGTATTGTCCTTCTGATATGAACTCTACATGTCTACACTCTGGCCTCCTGAAATTGCCTCCTAGTCTCTTTACCTACACACTAAACGCTCTGTACGCTTCTGCAAATGGGACACCAGATTAAGTCCTGTATGAATCGGCGGTGGCACTTATCTGATCTTGAGTGCTGCACTCTCAGTTGGCAGGGTGGCTGAGTTGTTAGCACTTGTGCGACTCAGCAAGAAGGTTGTAGATTTTGATCCTGGGTTGGCCCAGGCCTTTGTTTGGAGTTTACACGTTTCCATGTCTGGATGGGGGTCCTCTGCTCACAATGGTTTCCCCCACCACCCAAAACATGCAAGCTGCATATTTCATCAGCTTACACCCATATCTCTTTGAGAAAAAACCTTAATCCTCATCTAGTAAAATTAAGTCTCTCGTTTCTTGAGACATTTTAAAATGACATTTGTTTCGAATAAGTAATAGATTTCATAATGTCTGCGCAGCTCCACAGATGGAAAGCAGCATGGTAATGAAGTTTAAAACATTTTCTGCACCTCTTTATAGTTTACGCTTCACAAGAGGATATCAGAACAGCTAAAGGGAGATGAAGTATTTATGATTTGAGGAAATTGTATAGACTATGCATGAATTATTTAAACATTTAAACATGACGGTATGTTTTTGTTAAGATAATTTGTTTTAACATTATTTTATTTGCTTGATTCAAAGTTGGCACAACCCCAATTTTGGCAACTTGTTGTTTTACATCTCTCACAGCAGGCATCACTGTAGGCCAGCCCTCCTTTACATAAGATGTGCTGCTGTACTTGTTATTAAAACTCCAAAACCTTGTCAGTCAATCAAAGGATAGATTTCAAATAAATGTTTTTAATGATAGACCCAGCACACTGCAAGTTTACACACAATGTGTTATACAAACTAAAATAGCACCACCAAGAGGCGGTTTCATTCATTTAAAACAAAATAGATTTTATTCCAATAAAATAAGTACCTGTAAATGGTTCATTGTAATGGAAATGATGTGCATATCTCTATCTACACTACTCAATCTTCATAGACCCCTTGCTTAATATAAATACCATAAGAGCTTAAGTTTATACCCCTAAGGAATAATCAAAATCAAGTTTTTGATTCTTCCTGACATTTCACTAAAGGGAGCAGTGAAATGTATATTTATACTAATAGTTGTCATGTTTTGCTCCCAGTCCAGAACAGGCCAGACTTTGTGACTTGGAGGATCAGGCTAAAGCATCTAAAAAGGGCCAATGGAGCGAAGGAAGTGGAGCACACACCATTCGAGACCTCAAATACACAATCGAGAATCCACGAAATTTTGTTGATTCTTTGCACCAGAAACCCATCAATGGTGAGTATATTTACAAACACAGCTCTTACATGTGATTATTATGTACGAAGTTTACAAATAATGGACCTAGATTTAAGCAATGCTGCAATTTAATAGGTTTTCTAGAGATATATTTTGTAATGGTGAACATTTTCATAAACGGACAACAAAATAAACTTCATCAAAGTGTAATATGTAACCCTATTGGTTTTGTGTTTATTTCATAGTTTCTTTGAAAATGGAGAAATTTACATAGTATGGAACTATCCTCCTGCCCTGACCTGAGGAGTAAAGGAAAAATCATTAAAATAAAAATCCAGGACGTCTTTGCCTCAAGTCCCCTCTAAAAGACTGTCAATGTTTTTATTATTTTTCTTAAAGCCACTCTGTATTTTTTACATTTGCTCCATATGAAAAAACATGTTGACTAATAACAAATGTGACCTTTATAGGAATATTTACCTCCACCATCTTTTTGTAATCTTATTCATAGACTTGAAATTCAACTAATAAATGTCCATGAGCAAGAGTACTCTGTGTCAATGCAGCAACTTGAAATACAGTGGTGGATAATGGACAAAAAGGATGAGAGAATCGCATTATCATTTCAAAGGTGCTACTGATATCGTTGCTTTCCCCGTGCCTTCACAAGTTTGACGAAGGGATCATGAAGGACTACAGTTATATAAAAGAACGACCCAGACAACAATCTTAAAAAATAATTATGCAAAATTCCGACGTCAAAGCGGCAAACATCGCAAACCACGTGCACCGAAAGACAGAGTTAACACAACAGGAGGCACATTGTGTAGTTTGTACACCACAGACTCACACGTGAACCATATGTCACTTTTTCACACTGACAATAATGAGAACGAGGCAGAATCTGCAACAGTCTCAGGATGTTCTGACCCGATCCGAGCACAGTCCAACTATGTCACAAGTTTCAACTAAACTTATTTAGGGACAAGCCTTGAATAAAACACACAGAATCCCCACAAAACAATCGCAGCATGAGTGAATGTTCTGTTTTCTTACCGTGATGCAGATAGGGCGCCGTGGCTAACGCTAATAACAGCATGATCTTTTAGACATGTACTGCCGAGGCTGTGTAAATGTCCTGCCTCTCTGATCATCGTAGTTTTAAGCTCCCGCAGACGTTAATCCTCCATGCGTCTCTTCTGTTCACACCGTGTTTGTAAAACTATATATTATAATAGATCCATGGTAAAACTCATTAGAGCCTCTGTGCAGCGGCTGCCGCTTCGCCTCCATGCGACTGTAACAAGTGGCCGAGACGTATGTTGGGATCCAGTCATTTATCAAACTAAAGGATTCTCTCCTTGGCCCCGGTGAATGACTGAGAGTTAAGGAGCACTGTCAAAGACAGACATATGGTCTGTCAAAGGCTTCCGTAGTAACCTGGACTGCAATATATGATCTCGACGCTAGACGGGAGTAAAAACAACAGTGTACCTTTTTAAATAAATAAGGAAATCATTGTTTAAATTAAATACAGTAAAAAATGTATGCAAATGTATAATTTGGGTTAAATAATTATTTAAAAGTGGAAGCGCTGACAAAGTGGAAGTTGCGCCAGGGCTATATCTTTTAAGACAATGACCCTAAACACTGCTCAAAATCTACTGGGGCATTCATGCAGAGGAGCAAGCACAACTGGAGGGGCCATCTCAGTCCCCAGACCTGAATGTTATAGAACATTTTTGGTGTGATTTATAACGGGCTGTCCATGCTCAGAACCCTTCAAACCTGACTGAACTAGAGATGATCTACAAAGAAAAATGGTCCATAATACTTCCTACCAGAATCTAGACGCCTATTGTGAGTTATAGACAATTAGAGGCTGCAAAAGGAGGATACACATATTTGTTTTGTGGTACAAACCAGTATTAAACCCGCCTTGTTCTATAACTTGTGATGCAAGACAGAAATTTCCCCACTGTTGGATGAATAAAGGATCTCTTTATCTTAATCTTGACCATTACCAGAATCATAGACTGTTCTGTGTTAATGAAAATAGCATTTATTGAATGAATTTGTAACTTCAGTGTTAATTGCAAACTGCAGCTATGACTGCATTTCTCTTGATTAATTTTACCTTCAAATTGACATAATATGTTGAGTGTTCTCTTTTGTGATAAACCTGAGCTTACTGTAAATCGGCTCAATTTGTGTGAGATAGTCATTTATTCCCAAAAGTACGATGCACAACATTTAAACACCAAAATACTATACTAGTTTCAATTATTGTTTTTCTCTTTTTCAGCAATTATTGAGCATGTGCGTGATGGCAGTGTTGTTCGTGCCTTGCTCCTCCCAGACTACTACCTTGTCACTGTAATGCTTTCTGGAATCAAGGTAAAGGCAAACTTCCTACTCATATCCTACTTGTTTCCTAGAGTAAATTATGGAATCACTTTTTGCCCAATGCCAATGTCTGGTGCCAGTGTTTTTTTATGAGTGCATGTCAGATAGACAAAAGGTGACACCCTGTAGAAGAAATGATATTGTATAATGATAATGTAGGAAATATGTAGAGAGACACGTTACTGTATAGAAAAAGTCTTGGGTTTAGAAACTCGTTTAGGAATTATACTACTATGGTGCTAAAATAATTTGTTTTTTCCCCGTTGGCTTGTATGAATGAAGAACCTTGGCCCGATAACCCTTTGCAATGCATTTTTATTTCAACTAGAAGGTCCTGGTTTCTTGGTTATCCTGATGGTTTAATCTTAAGTGTTGCTTCATTGCATGTAAATGTTTTGGGTTCTAGTGTCCAGTATTCAAACGTGAAGCAGATGGCACAGAAACACCAGAGTCATTCGCAGCAGAAGCCAAGTTCTTCACTGAATCCCGACTTTTGCAGCGGGACGTTCAGATCGTCCTGGAGAGCTGCCCAAACCAGATCATACTTGGCACCATTCTTCACCCGGTAAGAGTGTGGTGTAGTTGAAGATTTACAGTGTCTCTATTTTGATTTGAATACAAAATAAGAAGACTTTTTCACTTTGCAGAATGGCAACATCACTGAGCTGTTACTGAAAGAAGGATTTGCTCGTTGTGTGGACTGGTCAATGGCTGTTTATTCACAAGGAGCTGAAAAACTTCGAGCTGCGGAAAGGTAAAACAAGCATGTAATTTAAACCTGAACTCCTACAATGACTGAAAGTTGTATTTTGAAACTGAATAGATCTGCCAAGGAACGCAAGGTCAGAATCTGGAAAGACTATGTTGCACCCACAGCAAACCTGGACCAGAAAGACCGACAGTTTGTGGCCAAGGTAAGATTATTTTTGAGCTTACAAGATTTGCTTTATGTTATCTACTGAGGTGATTGAAGCTTAAAGGAGCAATATGTAATATTTGCATGTCAAGTCATCATTAAATGACCCGAATATTTCAAAAGGCGTTATTAAATCATACTCTTTTCGAATTCATCTTTAACTGATAACAGTAGTTCAGCCGAGATATTTGATCATCAAAATTAGTTTTACGACCCGTAAAAGTTGTTATTGTTTTGATTTTGATGTCCTACCCTCCGCCGTTTTGCCAATCAGGAAGTGTCATGTGAGTCCGTGATCGGGTTGCCAGAACTCCGCGCGGCTCATTAATCTCAGTGGTAAAATAACATGTGGCGTAGAACTAAAAAAGGTCTTGTTATGACTCTCAAATAATTAATGACAAAACAAAGACTAAAACGAGGATTTATATCGGGATGCCTTTGAACAATTGAGACAGCTGATAAAAGTTCACGTGTGATGCAGAATTTTCTAGTTTGACTCCGTTCTTCACGGTTGCTCTGTTCGTGTGAACCGGTGGCCTAGCGGTCTAAGCTGCAAGCTTACGATGCAGGAACCCGGGTTTGATTCCGGGCTATGTCTTTTTGTATTTATTGCATGTTATCACATTCTATGACAGATTGCTCTAAAAACGGTAAAAGATGAAGGTCAAGACGTTTTTTTGCAGATTATAGCTTAATTGTAAAAATAATCATTTAAGACCACATGTACCCCAATTAAAATAATGTTAGTCTCTTTTTGATGTGGGACTTTTACATGTTTGTCTAAAAAATAGGGAATAAATAAAATTGAAAGGTGATATCCTCTTGAGCAAACCCTGATGTTGATACGCTGAAGAAATACGTTCCAACATCCATTCTTCCCACTCCTATTTTGGACATCAATTGCTTATTTATTTTGGATAATCTATAATTACATTGCTTTTATTTTGTTTTTGTTTTTTATCTCAAATGTCCAAATTATAATAATAAAAAAACATGAATCAAAACATTCATTCAGCATTAGCACGGCTGTCATGGCAATGTGAATGGAGACGGACAAACAACTGATAAAATAATTCCCTGAGTTTGCTGCTGGATTTGGTGTGAATCTGGCAACCTGAGTCAAGGAGAGTGGGAGAGGACTACAAAATATTGACTGTGACTGCAGTACCACTTTTGGCCAGATTTTTACATATTGCTCCTTTAAATGTTATCTAAATAAATTAATTGTATGTTTTCATCTTTTAAAGTGTGCAATGCTTTTAATTTTTCTCAACATTTCTTAATTTTTGAGGTGAAGATAATTTTGGTGTGCTTTACTTTCTCTCCGACTTAAAGGGACAGTATGTAATAAGAACTCCTTGTGGTCATATTAAATAATAAGACAATTCAACTTTTGTTGCCAGAATCTTGCTGCCTGTGTGACTGATGCAATCCATCTGCTGGGGTTTAGCTGGAAACTGTCAACATGTACAAATTACATATGACCATTATATCTGGGGACAAGAATAAAGGATCTACATCATTTATACTTGTACATGTTAAAATATAAATATTACACAAAGGCCCTTGTTTGGTACCGCTGGAGGTGCTTTTCACTTAATATCCATTAAAGCTTTTATCTGGATTGAGACTTTCAGCCGATATAATTCAATGTAAAATTGATCAGCGGATACAAGCGGTCGAAATGAGCTTCCTCCGCAGAGTGGCTGGGCGCTCCCTTAGAGATAGGGTGAGGAGCTCAGTCACACGGGAGGAGCTCGGAGTAGAGCCGCTGCTTCTCCACGTCGAGAGGAACCAGTTGAGGTGGCTCGGGCATCTGTTCCAGATGCCTCCTGGACGCCTCCCTGGGGAGGTGTTCCGGGCACGTCCCACCGGGAGGAGGCCCCGCGGAAGACCTAGGACACGCTGGAGGGACTATGTCTCTCAGCTGGCCTGGGAACGCCTTGGGGTCCCCCCGGACGAGCTGGAGGAAGTGTGTGTGGATAGGGAAGTCTGGGCGTCTCTGCTTAGACTGCTGCCCCCGCGACCCGACAACGGATAAAGCGGAAGAAAATGGATGGATGGATGGATGAAAATTGATCATTTTATGCTGAACATCATAGAAAATGGTTCCGTAGTTACTTAAAATAAAATACTTCACAATTAGACTCTTTTCGAATGGCTTTGATTTTAGGGGGAAAAAGGCTTTCATTCATTCCCTTCACCTGCATCTGTTCATATTGAGTAACAGTAGAAATTTGAAGCCACAGATGATATCTGTATTAGATATGAAAACAGATGAATTTGTGTAATGGGAAGGAGGACAAAGTATTATAGCTAATTTGTTTGACAAGATGAATTAAACAACAGTAGCTCAGTTGGTAGAGCATTGGCCTTAAGGCCAGAAGGTCGTGGGTTCAATTTCCACCTCTACACCTTCTCCACCGACTCCCACTGATGACTGCTGTCGTTGTGTCCTTGGGCAAGACACTTAACCCCACTTTGCCCAAAAGCCCCCACTGAAAGATCAAGGCTATGCTCACACTCAGAGAGCAGCCCTCCTCCTGTGGACTCACCACCTGCAGAGGGTCAGTGAGGGGCTGGTGCTATGAGACTTGGGTGGCATCTCTGATTGCCACCGCCCCTGACCCAGAAATGGATTAAAGGGTAGAAAATGGATGGATGGATGAAGACTAATTAAACCAACTAAAGGTTTTCTAATCGTTTGAGCACATTTGATGTTATGATGTAAAGCCTTTCATTGACAAGGACTGCAATGGGCAAAGGCAGCTTCTCCTACTTTTCAGTTAAGGAAGCATGCATTTAGAACTAAAAAAGTTGTGTTTATCAGCCATATTTTATGTGACAAAATACCTTAAGTGGCTGTGGGGAGCTATTTGATGAGCTGTGAGTTATTATTAAATAAGTAAAAATGGACACAACAATTACTTACTTTAACTTTGCATATTTTCCTTGATCGATACAGCCACAGACGTTTTTCTTCATCAGAGCTCAAACTTCTGTTGATAATGAAGTTCATTACGGACAAGTTGCTATCACAATGATCTGATCCGATTTCGACTCCTGAGCTAATGTTTTTTATTATTATTTATTTATTTATTTATTTATTTATTTATTTATTTATTTATTTATTTATTAGTTTATTTGAATAGGGACGGTACACATTAATCAACATTGCTGTAAATGTGTACAGTTGGAAACGGCGTAAATGCCATCAAAGTACACTGCAAAATTACAATATAAAAATAATTAGTCAAAACATCCATCCATCCATCCATTTTCTACCCTTTAATCCATTTCTGGGTCAGGGGGGTGGCAATCAGAGATGCCACCCAAGTCTCATAGCACCAGCCCCTCACTGACCCTCTGCAGGTGGTGAGTCCACAGGAGGACGGCTGCTCTGAGTGTGAGCATAGCCTTGATCTTTCAGTGGGGGCTTTGGGCAAAGTGGGGTTAAGTGTCTTGCCCAAGGACACAACGACAGCAGTCATCAGTGGGAGTCGGTGGAGAAGGTGTAGAGGTGGGAATTGAACCCACGACCTTCAGGCCTGAAGGCCAATGTCGTGGGTTCAATTCCCACCTCTACACCTTCTCCACCGACTCCCACTGATGACTGCTGTCGTTGTGTAGTCAAAACATGACAATTTAAAACGGGTAAATAAAGAATATAAAAATAAAACACAATAGCAAACAACACAACATGAGTGGTTACAATCTTGATTGTCCAATAAGCAAGTTTTTAACGTATGTTTAAAAGTTCAGAGGGTGGTGCTCTTTCGTATATAGACTGGTATTGTGTTCCAGAACTGAACGGTGCGCACTGAGAAAGCTGATTGGCTAAAGGAACTTTTTCTCAGTGGGACAACAAAGATGATTAGAAGCAGCAGATCTTATGTTTCTGCTGCTCTGGTTAAAAACCTAGTCACATAGATAGTGGGGGTGGGGCCAGGCCATTTAAGATTTTAAAAACCAGAAGACCATCTTGAAATCTTACCAAGTTTGCCGAAAAGGTTTCCTATCCAGGAATTAAATTACAATATTGGTATTGTAACTTATAATAGACATTTTTAAGAAAGTAAACTAGATATTTTACAAGACATTGATATGGCGAGTAATTGCTGTAATGAAAAATCAACTAAGTTAATGCAGCCTCGGTTTATTGTTTCAGGCGAAAGTAAGAAATTAAACACGCCTGGTAACGAAGCTACCAAATATTCACATATAGCTTAACAGTGCAGTTAGCCGATCCCAGATCAGTCAAAAACCATGAAATATCTGCCCAATCTCTATCGGATCAGGACATCCCTAATAACCATACACTTCTGCCAATATGTACAACAATATTATCATGTTTATTTGTTTAAGTTCCCATGGTGATTCATTGAGAGAATGTTCAGCACAGTTCTAGTTTTATGACTAAAATAAATACATTTTAAACTGCGCTTCTCAATGAACAATATTACTGATCTTTTTTTACTGGCCTAATTAGAATTGTGTGTGTAGCCCATTCTTCTGCTGTCTGTGGGTTATGGGTAGTTTTGTACCTTTGTAAGGCTGGCAAAGGAATATTTGTTAAAGTTTATTCTTTAACTAATATTCCTTTGAATTAAAAGTTAGAAAATCTAAAATAGGTTGAAAATCACTTTAATGATGAGGTATGGCTGAATAGGCATCTTTTAATTATGTTTGCGATGACTACTGTCCCTGTTCTTTTTTGTGGTAGCTGTAGTGAGCTCTGCTCATGCCCCCCCAGTAAAACCTTGATGTACCACTTTGATCTCCGCTGGACTCTTCTTCACCCTTGGTTCCTTTATCTCTGTTTCTACCAACTGCTGTTCCATCAAAGAACTTTCTGGTGCCTAACTATGTGTGGGATTAGATTTTTTTTTTTAGAGCCACAGTGATGTGACTGGAATGAAGATTCTCAATTCAAAGTCTAGGGTTCTTGTAACGTTATTATAAAAACAAAATAGATAAAGCTCAACCATTTGAAGAGTC